TACTTGAAAAGGAACATGGGGCTGATTAGAATTCTTCTCTCATGGGGAACTCCTAGTTGTAAGTCTGCATACTTGCTACTGTCTCTGCAGTTCAGTTGGTCCCCATGCATGTTTCTACAATAACACATTTGTTCAAAGATAGCGCAAGATTTCTCTCCCCTGACTTGAGAAATACTGTAGCAGAGCATACTTATTTCTGCAGTTTGAATCTTATTTCTCCCATAAACTCTCTCAGTCCATCTAACTGTCAACTCAGTCTCCCAGTTGGTCATATGGGGAATAAATAATGGCAATTAATTCTATGGCAGCTTTTGGTGTCCTCCAGATGTTCTGGGACTTGCAGCTGCCAGAATTCCAAGTGAAGATTATGTCACTTTGCTCAAATGGAGGTTTTTGAACAATAAACTAATTAAATGAAGAAAATTAAATCTGTTTTTCTCTATTGCTTTGTGCAGGCCCGGATGCTCTTGATAGTGAAACAATTCACATCTTTCCTCAAAACAAAGTATTTGAGCGAGGTTCCAACATAACATGTTGTTGCATTGCAAAGAAAAATAAAATTGTAAATAGTATTTCATTTCACAAAGAAAATATGACGACAAAACAGCAACGAGTATTATTTACTAGAAAGCCTGCATCTTCATTCCCTCCTTGCTTTCAGCTCACTTGTGGTTTTTCCGACGTCAAGGATAATAATGCAACTTATCTCTACCTCACCAGTAAGCAGAAAATTTTCAATCTTATTGTTTGTCACTATGAGCATTCTGGGTGATTGCAAAGGGTCTGGACTTCCATTAAAAGTAATCCCAACCAACATGGCTAGTGATCGGAGATTATGAGAGTTATGATCTAGTAACATTAGGAGGATCCCACATTGCTCACCTCTGCTGGAGAGGATTGTTTTAGCCACTTTAAATTTTAATCTTAAAAGTTGTCTTTGTGATTATGCTAACTTTTCTGGAATACTGAAAGATTTCATGCCCTAAAGTGTGTGGACTTTAGATAATTCTAGAAAACCCAAAAATCTGGTTTTAGTTTGCTTGCCAAATGGGAGTGGATCATTAATTTCCTATGGCTGCTTTTGGAAGCAAATGTCAAAGACAGACTAGAAATAAAAATTAAAATAAGCAAGAAAATGTTTTTTTCTACTGCTCAATCTAATCCACTATTCTAAGATTTTCAGGTTTTCTCCCATCCATCTGTAATAAGGGCCAAACCTATTACATTTTGCAGAGGTCAGAAATGATTGACCAGATGCTACAACTACAAATGACTTTTCTTCTTGCTCTTTGCAAATCAATGATCATTCTCTCACTTTCCCAATGGGAAAAAGATCACAAAAGCCACAAAAGAAGGGAGCATATAACCAAAAGTTTTCTTATGCTGTGAACCCACTTGGATAATTGCAGATAATCTTGGACATATGTAGCATTGGCTAGGAGATGAGTATGTGACTTTCTTGAGTGGGTATAATATAATCAGAGTAGGGAGACTCAAGTTCTAGCCTGATCTCAGAAGCTCAGAGGGTCACTTTGTACTAGTCTCACAGACCCAGTGCTTTTTTTCTAAACAAAGAAGGTGCCGGAACTCACACACATCATACAACCCGCCTTGCCTACCCTACAAGGTTCCATCCAAAAAAGGTGCCGGAACTCCGTTCTGGGCGTTCTATGAGAAAAAAAGCCCTGCTCAGACCCACCACATTCCCAAGTGCTTGTTGGGAAATTGCCCACTAGGCTGGAAGGAGGGGTCAAGCGAGGGGCCCAGCTCAGAGTTGTTTCACAGCTGCAAGCAGCATAAGCCTGATAATCTTCCCCCAAGATCCATTATGTGGTTGTTTCCAGGGGAAGACTGATGAGATTCTTGTATCATAAGTAGTAGATAATATAGTTGCTGCTGTTAGCTATTTATAAGTGGCTCTGGTTGCTTGTGCCTGACGTTCTGGATAAAAACAAGATGACGAAGCACTATGTATGCTGTTCTGAATTCCTGGCAAAAAAGCAGAATATACATTTAATAAAAATGAATGAAATATTTGGGTGAGCCAATTTCCCTTTCTAAATAAAGCAGGGACAGGGAAACTACAGTTTTATTGGCCAATGGTCATTGGAAACATTCTTGAATAAAGGGGACGGGATATCCAAAGATGGAGAGGGATTCAGTATCTGTTCCCAAGGCTTGCATTTATCATTTTTCTGCTGGTGGTGGTGGGGGAATCAAGGTGATCAACTTGATTTGTTTGGAAAGTAATTGTATAGATGAAATATATAAGAAAATAACATATGAATCTGAACTTGTTTTAATAGACCAGCCTGATAAACCCCAAAATCTAAACTGTGAAACTGAAGACATGATTAATATTAGATGTACTTGGAATCCTGTTTATGTACCGACGGACTGTTTCTTTAGGGAAGCCTGTCCAATGGAGTTTTTTTTGTCTGATGTGTAAGTATTCTCAAATCAGTCTTACAAAGTCAATCCAAAGCATAATATGAAGGAACTTAGATTAGTTGTATCAGGATGTATGGGGTATCTTTGAAAGGAATATTTGGGGTTGTTGAAGACCTTGATGCCAGGAGACAAAATCTGTCTTGGATAAAAGAGATTGGTGACTAACAGAAAGTTAAAACAAATCAGCTATTTGCATATTTAACTTGAATAGAGGAAACCTTTGACATTTTGCTTAAGGTTATTGTATGCCTGTAGTAAAAACAGATATATTGACGTTTATAGTGGCTTAGAGATAAATCTTAGTTTAGGATAAAGCTTGAACTTGTAGGCAAACATCAATTTTTTTAATGTATTATTTTTGTCTGCAAATGAAATAAATATTGTCTTTTTTCCCTCCCATGCTATTTTTTGAAAGCTCTTCTACAAAAATATATTGCAGTACAAAATTCCAAAATAGCTGTTCATTCAAGATGGGTGACCAATTCCTATACAATGTAAGGTTAACCGCCAGAAATTGCCTTGGACAGAAACATGAGCAGCTTAGTTTTAATGTATTGCACATAGGTAAGGGTTGGTTTTGTTTACTAATTTTTATGTTTCATCCTAATGTCACAGTCTAACTGGATGAAAATGTCAAGTAAAATTTAGGTACAGATTAGCCTGTACTTGTGGGAGCACAAGATAATGTATTGATTGGTTCTTGCTAATAGAATTGTCTGTCCCACAAACAAAGGTCTGGAGAAGTTGAAATTGCAGGAATCTGCTGTTTCTTCTCCTGTTATGTTTCCTCACTGATAAATAAAAATTGATGATCTCTCTGATGTTGAGAAAAGCAGAACAATTGAAAACTTGGTAAAGAAACATGACATTTAATCCATTCTTGTCTAATTTGATGACCTACATGTTAAGTCTTTCAGTTGTGGGTGTAACACATCTGGAGAATACCACATTGAGTAGAAACCAGTGATTTTCGCAAAAGGGGGAGAGGGTCAAAAGAGACATAATGTCATGATGCCCCTTTTTTACACACATGTACAAAAAGGGTGGGGCTTGTGTTGTATTGTGTGCAGGGTCTTGCCTGTTATGACCTTTCTCCCTACAGATGCCATGGGTGATTTAAGCAATTTAGAATTTTTAGTTTGTTTAGCTGCTCCCATTGTTTTTCTCCTCCTGGTCTATTTTAAGCTGCTATTGATTCAGCTTTTAGGGTTCCTTTAGTTGCCTTTCATCACCCAGAAGGGTCAGGTTACAAAAATCAACAACATGGTATGTAGGTTGGATTCCTTTGAGCACCGTCCTGCCAGGGAAATTATGATTACCCTCCTCATTTCTGCAGGAGGAGAAAGAGACCTTTTTTTGTGCCCTTCTTTTTCTGTCTTTGGGAAGTGCAACGACTGTGTTGGGAAATAGGGCACCCTTCTCTGATGGGAATGAAAGAGAAGAGAAAGCAAGTCTGGAGCAAAAGAGAATAAGTCAAAGTGGAGGAAGTAGGAAAAAGACAAAACCTAATAGATGGTTGCCATAATTTTTTGTGCCTGAAGATCTTTTGGAGTTTCATGACAGAGAAGGGAAATCCAGGGATAATAAAGCAATTTTGGAGGGGTTTGTTTGTTTGTTTTGTTGTTTTTATGGTCCAAAGTATTGATTTACTTTCTTTTCAGAATCCTCATAGTCCTTCATTTTTCTCTTTTCAACCAGTTCGTCCTGTAATTTTCAGTAAACCATCTGTCGATTATCAAAATGCTACTTTTATTCAGTTATCTTGGGATATAAACCCAATAAATGCAAGTCTATCATTGTTATGCCAAATCAATGCTGCAAATGGTGATGGGAATAAGCAGGTGAGAAGCATCTATATCTAAATAAAAAATAGCAACTCACCCTACCCCATTATAAATCTTGCATGAGAAGCCAGAGGTGGGTGTTCACATGTGTCTTATTTAATTCAGAAACCCTTTTACTTTTCTGTGTGACAATTGCAAAACAGAACAGACTCTAACCTTGAGATACACTACAACCCAGTCTCAATCATGGAACATTTCATCCTATTGTAAATAGTAAATTCATTAGCCTTTATGAAGTCACCAAATAGTGGCTTATATCTAATTGTGTCCTTCTCTTAGTGACCCAGAAATTGCTAATGTTACCTTGTCTGCAGGGCCCCCAAATCTGAGAGGAACCCTTTGGACAAACATTGGGATTCAATGTGTAAATTAAACTTTTCAGAGTTTAAGTTGATTGGAAAGGTGGATAGGAATTAATATAATGAAAATGTCTTCAAATCATATTCAAATTTTGGTAACTTCATAGATATGTCTGTGTAGGTTCTTGGAAGTAATATAGATGTGGCCTGGAATTGCTGCTTTTCCAGATTTGTTGTTTAGATTTTTCAGTGTAGCCTACAGCTCTGGATTTCCAGATATATTGAAGTCCAAACCCAAAGCAGATCTAACCCTGCTTTTTTTTTGGGGGGGGGGGGGATCAGTCAAAATTGATTAGATGCTGCCATCTGCTGTCAGTGTAAAATATGTAGTTACATTTCAGAAAAAAAGTTACCTCAGAGAAAGACAATATTTGACCTCTTTAACAGGTTTACTCTTCATGTTTTGCAGTACAATATCACGGTGCAGTCCAATTCAGATTTCCCTCCCCGCTTCCAGCTAGGTGGACTGCAGCCTGCCACAAAGTATGCATTAAAAGTACGCTGTGCTGCAGATGTTGCTCCGTCCTGGAAATGGAGTAACTGGACGGAGAATATAATTTCTGAGACTCCTGAAGCTGGTGAGCATTCTGTTGTGGAGGAAAACTTTAAGGGAAATGGAGCCTAGAGTTTTGTCATCTTCCCTATCTGGTATCCTCCAATTACTTGGACTACAACTTCCATTATCTCCAGCTAGCACAGATAGAGAATGAAAGAGTGCAGGCCAATACAGACCACAATTGAGCCCAACATTTCTGTTGTTAAGTGAAACATTTGTTAAGTGCGTTTTGCCCCATTTTCCAACCTTTTCTGCCACAGTTATTAAGTGAATCATTGCAGTTGTTAAGTTAGTAATACAGCACTAAGTTAATCTGGCTCCTCCACCTAAAGTTCTGCTTTAGGCACAAAGCCAGCTGGGTGACCTTGGGCCAGTCACTCACTCTCAGCCCTAGGATAGAGGCAATGGCAAACCACTTCTTAAAATCCTTGCCAAGAAAACTGCATGGACTTTTAGAGCCAAGAATCAGACACAACTGAATGGAGGGAAAAATAAATCTCCAGAAAGGCTGTACATTTTGCCCTGCAGTTATTGCTATTCAGTTTTCAAAATGTTCTTTTAATATAAACATTTTTATGGTTAATCCTAATTTTTTGGGGGATGGTTCTCTTTAATTTATGGTTTGAGAATTTGAACTTTTTTCTCTCTTTGTGAATAGATAGCTGGTCCTACAATATAAATAAAAGTCACTTTTCTACTCACAAATGAGAGATTCTGTTCTTATCTGCACTTAGTTTGATATTTCCGGTATTAATACTGTATTGTGAATTTATATCCTCTTTTCTTATTTCAAGAATAGCCATCACCTCTTTTACAAAGATAATTAAAGTAAGAAAGAAATGGTTATCAGGATGAAAATTTTGTAAGCACTGTCAAAGAATGCAAGTATCCATCTTAAGGTGTCTGTCTGTGACTTGTGAAAGTGTAGAATATATTATATTAATATAATAGTGTATTTATATAATTATATTCTTTCTATTTGATCATTAAGCCTGCTTACATCATGTGTTGCGTGCTTTGATTTTCAGCTCCATCAGGATTGCTTGATGTCTGGAGATATATTAACCCAGACTTGGAGCAACATAATGTAACTGTATTCTGGAGGGTAAGTCTGGCCATTCATATAAAACTGATAGGACATATAGAAGCATGTGTGTATATATATATATATATATATAAATAGCCATCACACTATTTCTGTTTGAGGTGAGCAACACTGTGCTAAGTGCAGAAGGATAACAAGTATATTAAGAAACAAGCATTCAATAATTCAATAGACTAAAAATGGACAACAGATGGTCCATAAATATTGACTTTCTTCATTGATCTTGGATTTGGTCATTCATGCTTCCATATAATGCGTGCCTGGCTGAGGAATTGTGGGAATTGAAGTCTACAAGTCATAAAAGGGCCAAGTTTGAAGATCCTTGATATAATGATTTTTAGAAAGACAAAGAATGGTATCAGCCTTGGTTACAGGTAACATTCCCTAGTAATGATAAAGGCCTAGTGGTCATAGAAAAGTACATTCAGAAAGATGAAATTTTGAATGATAAAGAAAATATTCTACTTTTCACAGCAATAATATTCATAGAATAGAATTATATGGGATATTATACAACAAACTTTGCACACTATTGACTGATATTTCTTTGGTTGTGATATTTGTGGGTTTTTTTCTACAGTAAATTACTGTGTGATAATGCAAAATGGAAGTGCAGCATTTTCATTTTTAACACTTGATGCCTCACCATTAAGGACAACTGAGGGTGTTAAGTCTTTTCTATTAGAAGTGTCCATATCCTGTCATGAAAGTGTCCAACAGAATCATGTATAGTTTAGCCACTTGCTTGATGTACCACAGAGCTTACTCTGTTATCCACACACAATAAATACAGTAAATAAATCTGGGTGACTTTGGGGTGTATGAAAAAATAGCATGAAATTCTGTTCTCTTTGTGGACCCAAGTCTTGAAGATAAGGATATTTATTTTCTATAAGCCATTGTAGAAGAGATGTAGTGTCATCTTGTATGTTCTTTCTCACAGTGAGAAAACTGATAACATCTGTAACGAAAAACAATCTGAAACTATTCTAGAAAAGTGCATTGATGAGAAATGTTTTTTTAAGATAATTTTGCTTTCCTGCCCATAGGAATCCTCAGAATTTTGTGCTAATGGAAAGATCCAAAAATATCACCTATCCTTGGAAAACTTAGAGGAACCTTCTATGCAGCGTCACAATTACTCAATTTCTGCATCACAGAAATTCTCAATGATTCTTGGCAACCATTCTTACAAAATCCTTGTCTGGGCACAAAACGGTGTATCTGCATCTTCTCCCTCAATGATTATCATCCCAGCAACTAATAAAAATGGTGTGTTCATTTAGACATGTTATTCTAATGAATCTTCCTTTCCTGAACCAGAAAGCAATGTGAAACCACAACCCCAGATTTTTTTTTTATTTCCATGATTACATAGTAAGATTCTACTCCTATTGTATTGTATTGTTTGTTTGTTTATTTATTTATTTAATTTGTATCCTGCCTTTTATTATTTTTACAAATAAATCAAGCCAGAGAATATATCCAATATGCCTTCCTCCTCCTGTTTTCCTCACAACAACAATCCTGTGAGGTGAATTGGGCTGAGAGAGTGTGACTAGCCCAGGGTCACTTGCTGGCTTTCATGGCTAGACTTGAACACACCGCCTCCCACTTTCTAGAATGGTGCCATAACCACTAGACCAAACTGGCTGTCTTAATAAACTTTGGTTTGACTGAATGTTTGGGATTTCAGCCTTTATATGTCAGTTTATACTCTGCTGCTCCCTGGACATGACTTTTTTTTTTTTACGCATTGCAATGTAAAATGTTTAGCAATTTACTCACTGGTTATATTATGCATTTAAAACATTTATACACATAAGTTTTCTTTTAAAATTCTGCATTGTTCATTTCATTTTCCACAAACCCAGAGAAGTTCCAGGGTCTGTGCTACAAAGATGACAATGTAATTTTAATTATCTTTTCTTAAAAATAAATCCCATTTAATTTCATGGGATATACTTTCACATGAATGGAGATGGGCTTTTCACTCAGATTCCACTGAATGAAAAAGCACTGAGAATTACAGTGTGGTTTGTTTGATTGAATTCTTTAAAACAAACAGGGAATGGTGAAATGTAAGTCTTTTCTCTGCTGGCAGAAAACAAAACAACTAATTCTACTGTTTTATTTAGTGCATGTATATCTAGGGCTTAGATTTAATTACAGTTCAAATATGCCAGGCAAACATTTTTTTTCTGAAAGTCCCCATAACATTGCCTGGAATTCATAGTGAATGAGAATGCATGTTCACCAGAGGTTGACAAAAATTGTTGGAGGATCAACAGAACATTTGCATTTTTGTATAGGTCTCTCCAGAAAGCTGTGTGAAAGAAGGATAAATATTATGAATGGCAGTTAAAGATTTTGGTGCTGATGCCTAAAAATTGTTGCATTTTTTAAGGTACAGTGCATTATAGTAAGGAGACCACAGATAACAATACAGAACATGGAATTTATATTTCTTGGAAACCTCAAAGCAAGTTCAGTCAATATGTTGTTGATTGGTGCAACCACCCCACAGGTCATGCGTGTGATTTTCAATGGAAGAAGTATGAGCAAAACAAATCCAGTGATCTCATTACATCTGGTAAGAAAAAATTAAGTTTGTTAGTGAATATTTCCAGAGATCATTGTTGTCTGGTTGTTAAAGCTACTGTAACAACAATTCTTCTTTCAGTCAAGATTGAGTGATTTTATGAACAAATCTATAGCTTCCTTGCCAGCAATATAGAAATGATTCGCCCTTGTTTTCTTCTGGAATATTTTTACAACTTCTTAGTTACTGTGAAGTTTTCCTACCTGAGAATTAGCAAGGACTGGCCCATTTCATAAAACCAATGTAATATTTGCAAGGATACATTTATCAATCAATCAAATCTTTATTACGGTCATAGACCAGCATAAGAAGGTGCAGTACAAAATTTTTAAATAACTAAAAAATAAAAATGCACAGAGTTAAAAACTTAACCATGAAATGTGCAAGGATATTGCTACTTCCTCCATTCTGACACACAAGTCCATGAATTAGTTTCTCAAATGAGAAGAAGGGGAGAAGGTGCCCTTTCAAAACTGGATGACGGGAAAGTGGCCCAGTCTACCATGTTCATTTCCTCAGGAAGGGTTGTTGTCAAAAAGATCCTTAGTGGAAAATAAGACTATTCTGTCAGGGCTACATTGTGGGCATAAAGGTTCTTCTACACAAGAATTTAAACGGAGACCCCACAAGATCAATAGAAGTACTGTGTTTTCCTTTTTCAATGTGAATTCACTCCCTATCACTCTCCAGCTTTTGTAATTAACCACACCTGGCACCCATTTTGTGCTAGTTTTTCATTTCATAACAACTATATTTGAGGTAAAGCCCATGACACTTGAAAAGAAAAAATAAATCAGAAGCTCTTGATATTTTAATCAATAAAATCAATATTTTTCAGGTTTCCCTAACATTATCACTAGCTTCCACTTGTAATCATACATGTTATATTCCTAACTCTTTTGTTGGTATATTTCTTGAAATATATTTTAGATGCCTTCAGCCATGGAGTAAAATATACTTTTAATGTGTATGGAATACAAGATGATACAAGTTATTTATTGGAAAAGAAGGTTAAATATCTCAAAGAAGAGGGTAAGTTATGCTGAACTTGTATATCTTAAATTAGACTATGGCTGCAATTTGTTATGCCCATGTATAGCACACAGCCTTTGTGCCAGTGCAGAATTCGCTTTGCACCTCAGTTTTGTTGTACTGTGGTCTGTGTTCAGCAGTGATTTTATTGTGTAACTTGCCTCGTTGCAAAAATGGAACACTGAATAGCTATGGAGAATGTGTTTGCCCTGTGGAAACTCTTGTTTGCTTCCCAGTTCCCGAGCTTCAGCTAACACAAGATTCTGTTCACAGATCCTTAAAAGAGAAATATGGTTGAACAGTTGCTCAGGTCCTTGTTTTCAGTTCCAGCCCAGATTATTTTTGCATAAGGAAAAACAGATGTGCACCATTCTTAAAAATACATTTCAGGGTTGATCTTAATTGCCTGTTGTGTTTATAGTGGTTCTATCTGCCCAGTAGTCCAGATGGTTGTCCTAAGATGAACGTGGATAAAAACCTTGTTGTTCCCTTTCTTCTTACAAGTGGATTAGTTGAATGTAAAATGCCAGGATGCTGCTTGGATTTTTTTTAAAGGAGTTGCATCATGGATATTGGTGGGATGTTAACTATGCCTTTTCTTATATTAGCCAAAACTGTGTTAATTCTCATTGTGTGGAGTTTGATTGATCCGGGACTATCTATCTCTACTCCCACTTCAGACAACTTCCTGTTCTTGATGCCTGTCTATAGACATTGTTTGTTACTTGGTATTTTCTCTTTTTAACTTTACCTGTAGCTTGCACAAATGGATTAATTTTGTCATGCCATTGTACCATCTTCAGAGCTGTCCATGAGAAGATCTCCAGTACAGGAGATTGGGCACTTTTGTCCCATTACAAATGCTCAGATTTGTTTTACAAACACATGTAGATATAGAAAGGGGGGAAAGCGTTTGTAGTTCATTTTGCTTTGTTATTATATGGAAGCTGTGATGGGGCAAGATTTTGGCGTGTAATCTGAGGTGGGGTAGATTTTTGTTGCTGCAAAATCTGCAGGAGCTTGAGACAGAATACTGTTTGAACAGGGATTTATGCATTCTGCTTTTGGTTGGGTGGCAGGAACACCAATTAATTTAGGACACACTTAGCAACTTTAAGATGTGTGGACTTCAACTTCCAGAATTCCCCAAGCAACAGGTGCTGGCTGGGGAATTCTAGGAGTTGAAGTCCACATATCTTAAAGTTGCCAACTTTGAAAAACCCTAATTTGGGATATTTCCAGCCTGTTTCCTTATTGCTGGATGGGCAGACATAAAAATGCCCCATGACTCCAAAACTTTTTAAAGGGATGAAGAAATTTATAATAGGTTTAAATACCTCTTAGAAGGAAGACATTGAAGCTTCCCAGCCATTGATATACAGTACATTTGATACAAAGGTGGGAATTCATATTGGAATCCTTTCCTGCCTATATTGGCATGACTTCCTTCATTCATGGTGTTTGTAAACTAACAAATCTCTCCGGCATAATGTTTTCATTTACATGATCGTTAGTCATGTAACAAACTTTAATTATTAAATGTATTAATTAAAGCTGCACAATACATAGATATAATTTTTTAGGTTTGAGTAAGCTGTACATTTCTTCCTGCATTTTTTCCATGATGGTCCAGGTCTCATAATGGTCCAGATATCCACAACCACAAAATGTTAATCTCAGCACAGCACTGCACACTTGGGGGGGCAGATACAGAGGAGCAAGAAAGATTAAAAACTAGGAGAAATCCTAAGACCTAATATTAACAATCCATGTATGTGAAAGGCAAGATGATAGCAGGAAGTAATTACTGAATAGTTGTGTAGCTAATCAGCAAAGTTTGGTCAGCAGACCTTAATCAGCAAGGTTAGCTTAGTTCTATTTTTATTTTCAAAGTCTGTGATGGTCAATTCTCAGAATGGAATCTTGCACTGAACAAAAATGGAAATTTAATCAAAATGTAAAGACTAAGGATTAAAACTATAGCAAACACATAGTAAATGTTGTCAATTTTCTGTTTTCCAGAACCACTACAATATATCTTATGTAATATAGTTAATACCACTGCGAATTCATTAACAGTAACTTGGGAACCACAAAAATTCAACTCTTGTTTTATTAGAGGTTATGTACTTTACATGAAAATGGATAATCAGAATTGTATGGTACAAGGTTCTGAACAATTTAGAAATGCAAGTAAGTGATCCTCTTTTCTCCAGAATAATGTATCTTTAAGTGAGATGTGAGCTTATTTAGGAATTGGTACACAATCCTCCTAAGCACAAAAGAAGTTGAAACATAGTCTATAACTCATGTTTTTTTTCATAAATAAATGAAGGTAATCCAAGAAGAAAAACAAAGTTGAAAATTCCTAATAGGAACTCAAGGTCTAAATCAGTGTTTTTCAACCTCAGCAACTTTAAGTTGTGTGGACCTCTGGCTAGGGCATTCTGGGAGTTGAAATCCATACCTCTTAAAGTTGTAAATGTTGAAAAATACTACTCTAGAGAGTTGCAATGGAGCAAACACTTTGTAGAGAAACCAGAAGTATATTTTGATTTTGAAATGGGTCCCATATACTCTGCACTTTGTTTTCTCTTAATGTTTCTGTCTTATGAAGGTTGGTGTGTTTTCCTCTTCAAGCGAATTAGCTGATTGATACAGACATTTTTTGTTTTCAACATTTCAACATTTCTTTTTAAAATTAAAATTTGAGGCTTTAGTCATCAAATAATGAATGTTATGAACCTACATAAAAGAGAACAACATTGAAAAATCCTTGATGATGCTTGATTATGAGTGATTGTGAAGCAGCAGTGAAGGTGATGCTAGGATGACATAAGAGTCTTTTGGCTTACAATAAGATCAATATTTGCAGAGATGCTTGAAGGAGGGGAACAAGTGAGACCGTTTTTTGTGGCCTAAACTTTCTTCTTGATTTCAGATAATCTAATGATATGCAGTTACAAAATTGAAAAACCAAACCAAACTGAATTCACCGTGAGACATTTGAAACCCAGAACAAAGTACTTGTTTGCTGTTCAGGCTTATGCTGTCAAACCTCATTATATTGACAATGGCACCTTTAAGACAGTGTTTACACCAGATGATGGTAGGTTTTGCTCATTTGTATCTATTTACTATAGGTACAGGAATAGCCAACACTCCAGAAGACAGGCTTAAGATACAGAAGGATCTGGACAGACTTGAACACTGGGCACTATCTAACAAAATGGTGAAAAAAGCCAAGGTTCTACATTTAGGCAAGAAAAACCAAATGCACAAGTACAGCATAGGTGGCACCTTGCTCAATAGTAGTAACTGTGAGAGGGACCTCGGAGTCCTAGTGGACAATCACCTAAATATGAGCCAGCTGTGTGCTGCAGCTGCCAAAAAGGCCAACACAGTGCTGGGCTGCATTAACAGAGGGATAGAATCAAGATCACGTGAAGTGTTAATACCACTTTACAATGCCTTGGTAAGGCCACACTTGGAATACTGCATCCAGTTTTGGTCACCGCGATGTAAAAAAGATGTTGAGACTTTAGAAAGAGTACAGAGAAGAGCAACAAAG